TCGATCCAGCTGGAGGAGGCAAAGACAGCAATGTTTGTTTTGATGTTGTTGCAAATGAATATTGTAATTAAATATTACATTTAGTACTGATTAAAATCTAAGGATTGTTTTTTTATTTTTATTTTTTGGAAACCCTAGTTGTGAAAGAAGTCGAATATGTAACAGTTGGTCCCCTGTTTCTACTAAGTTCCTTTATGAGTACGTTGAGGCCAAAATCAAAGATAAAAGTGTGGATTGTATGGTTTGTAAACCTGATTGTATATGCAGCATTTACTGGTTCTGTAAAGTGAAATCAGTGCTCTTGGTCGTCCTATTTAGAGTAAAATGTATAGTAAAGCAGGGTATGCATGTTTGCATATTTAAATGGTACCTCTGTGTGTTCTCTGGTCATGTACTGGTATGTGTGTTTCACGTGTTAAAGAACCTCGTGCATGTGAAATATCTCAGATGTCATTTTTGAGTCAGAAGTTGGCACGGTTTTGCTAGAGTCAAACTAAGTGATTCATCCACAGGCAGCATTTGGTCAGTTTGTTGTTGTTGGCCTATTGTCATCTGTTTTTCTGTTTGTCTGTCTATCCTTGTGGCTGAAGGAACAGTACACTGTGTTTTGCTGAGCTGGTGTTATGGGTGGAAGTCAAACACAGCAGTAATTACTGAAACACACACACCACCTCTCACTCACAATACAGTAACAGTGATAGGTAATAAGTTTTTGCTGTGGTGAAACACAAAGATTTGGGAACAATAGTTTAATGTATTCAAATTCATAAACCCATATTTAGCCTAAAAGCTATTTTTCCATGTGTGATGAAGTTAACCCTGAGGGTAAAAGCCTGCTCCTGGGTTTATGTAAGCCCACTCCTGTTTGAAGAGGACGAGGGTGAGATCTGAGGCACAGATGTTTCATCTGTCATCAGATAAACAAAGTGTGGGTGTTTGAGTTGCAGCTTTCATGCAGCCTGCAGAGACACACAGCTGAATAGATGGCAATTGATGACCAGTGCTAAAACAGCATTATGAGGTTGTATATAATACTTTCAATGCATAAAATATTTAGGAGATTGAATCATATTTTACAAGCAATACAAACAAGAAATGTGACAATTTTGTTCTTCATTCACTGATGTTTTTGGGTCAGTGCAAACAACCTATGAATACAAATCATCAAATGTGTTGCCCAACCTTAACAATATAAAAATACCAGTTTCTGCTAGAGCCTGACTGATACATGGCATTTTATAACAGATAAATCTGATACCCCCATATATCGCCTGATATTTCATATTATATTATAACAATATAATCAGTGCTGTTCACTTGTTGGTAATTTTAACACTGTGGCTAATTAGTTTATGTTTAATACTTCTAAACGGAGACACAAATCTCCTTTGGGGCTTGTGTGAGGAAGGACATCTGGCATAAAAACCTGCCAAATGGAGTAACCCAGTGTGGCGATCCCAGTTTTTTAGCTTTTCAAGGATATAAGGCTCCTTAGCTGCACATGTCTGACTGCATTTACCAGCTAACTGCTAACTATGTTTGTCTCAGAGTAATACTGATGAGAGCGGAGAGTTTGAAACCAATCAGCACAAAATTTCACTTTAAATAAAAACAGGGTTTAAAAATATTCATATTAAAAATACATTATTTTACCTGGAATAGGCTCCACTACACTCAACAACACGCTAAGAAAATTAAGAAAATGAATAAATTCTAGGATAGCGCATTAAATTCTGTGGATAATGAACAGCATATCATTCTAACTTGTTTCCAGATTGCACTAATTGAAAGCAAATTTACAGGTGATCACTAAGGTTAATGGGATCTTCAAGCCAAATCAGTGACAGCATGCTTCTCCTCCTGCAAGTGTCTCTCTCGCTCAGCCCTGGTTCATAAGATTTTCTGTGAAGAGCTGCTGGTAAGGAACTGTTAATGTATGTCAGGCTTTAGAAAAAGTGGCACTTGACGTTATTTGAGAGGAAGACAATGAAACTGCCATTAATCTCTAAGTGGAACATGCTGTTAAATAAGTACAAAACTGGATTCGAAGCACTTTGTTCCATACTCCTCACGCATGTCACTAATTGCGAATAAGACGTGTTCCAGGGTGCATCACTTGAAATGTAATTCACTTCCAAGGAAGCCTTGACGAGTTCTGCAGAAAGAAGAAAAATCATTTAAGGGAAATAGATTGGTATGTGGGTGAGAAGCAAGTTCAGTAAAGTACTTTCGTGCACGCTGCCAATTAAATAGAAAGCTGAATTTCTTGTGGAGTGGATCAGGTTTGTGTGGTGTTCCCTACATGCCTCTGGGTAGAACACTGGCATGCTTGCTGTTTACGCCTTTGTGTACTATGAATGAATTATGGGAAATGGAAATAAAAAACAGATAGATTTCCACAGCAGTGCTGGACCACCCCCACCTTGCTCTGCCACCTGTCTTCGCCAAGGAACACAGATTGCGTTTGCTGACTGTGGGGGCAACCTTTCTCCATAAAGTGTCTTCATTTCCAGGCACAGGACTGAGTTGGAAACATTTCACATTAGTCTGCTGACGTCACATGTGGACACAAGCTCGTGTTCATTGCATTTCCCATACCCATTGTTAATTAAGTTTTGGCACTAAATGGCCTCTCTGTGGTAACATGTTAATCTTATTAAAGCTGACACTTACAACCAGTACGCACGTATTTGCATAACCACAAAGCAAATCAAAAACACCAGTTTATGTACTACTGTGTTTCCCATGAAAGCCCCAGCTTCCTGTCATAACAACACAGTCTACATGAATATTTCTCTCAAATAAGAGAGGAGCTTTTAAAAATAGCACACACGCTGCTGACTGGGAAAAACGATTGGCCAGACTCATACTTGTATATATTGAATAAACAGCTGTAATATCTTACTGTGTAACAGCCACTTTAGAAGCTTCATTGGAAAGCTGTAATACAGAAGCAGAGGACAATAGCTCTTTAGCAGAGAAATGCCTAAACTTACAATGAATAAATGTTTATAAATGCCTAAACGTACAACTGCTTTCAAGATCTTAATCTCATGATATCACACGGGCATGCAAGGTGCTATAAGGTGTTCTCCATCATATTAAGACTATCTCTCCACTTCATTACATACTTCATGTCTACGCAGTGGCGCAATGTCTGAGCCTTTGGGCAGGATCCATTCCCCCATCTGCTGAAAGGCCCATGCTTCAGGAGCCCCTCCGATGCCCCTGCCCACAGGCAGGATGTTATAGTCCAGGTGAGTGGCTGTGTTTTTTCATTGAACTGGAGTTTCCACCTCTGGGCGGAGCTACCTCTTTCTACCCACGATCTGCACCTGCTGGTAATTTGGGCTGCCAGTATTTAAGACCAGCGCTGTCAACGTGTTTTTGGCAGCTCTTCTGCTAACCTGCGTTAGTGTGAGGCCACCAAGTCTTTAGCGCTTATTCATGGTTTCTGCTTATGCTTACCTAGTATTTTCTCCCTGTGGTTCCCAGGAATCCTCTGGCACGGCAATACTCACCCACTTCAGGATGCTGGTCTTCAGGATCTACTCTATCATTTGCTGCAAGGCCAGGCACATCCTTCAGCAGCCCCTCCCTCAGCTATCAGCTATGTTTTTTATTTAATAAATTATGGCGATGCCTATGATGTAGAAGTTATCCTTACCTTACCTATCTTTACAATTTTGCAGCTTTTCTTTGTTTTTCCCCCCATTCTGTTGCGATCTGGGGATGTGTTTCAGTAAATGCCTATTGGGATTGTGTCAGATGGAATTATGAACACAGAAAAGTACAATTAGGTCTTAATCCACCATGCAATACCATCTGCAATCATATGATTGGCAGTGGCTTAATTTGTCAACATGGCAATGGTGCCAAATACATTTCCAGTGCTATAATCTATCCAGGCAAAGCATACCTGGACAGCAAAACACACGGTCAACCTCAATATTATTTAAGCAGCAGATAGCAGCTCTCTTGACAGAACAAAAGACAGCCAGTATCCCAAGAAAGAGCTTTGAATGTCCTTCAAGAAGCCTGAGGAAGTATTCCTGAAGACTACTTAAAAGGATCTACAAGAAAGCTTGCTCAGGAGAGTTCAGGCTGCAACTGTTTTTTTTTCCTTCATATAATATATTTTTATGTATGTTTGCACATGTTTCACAAAGTCAATTTTCCTTTTTCTCATTTCCCTACATATATTAAAAAGTAAATATATAATGAGTGTTTTAAGACTTTTGCACAGTATATTGTTTACTGTGCATCGATTCTGTTAAAATAACAGTAGGGAGTAGAGATTTAAATTTCAAAGGCCAAGTAAAAAGCCAGCATCGCCTTGTCCAGTTTAAACTGCAGTATGGTGTGGAGTAGAAATATGAATGGATACTACTTTTCAATTATTAAAGCATATTCTGAAAATGTGGTTCACACATTTAACTTTGTGATCCTCCTATGGGGAGGCCAGGTTCCATTTACAAAGTAATTTTTATGTATATTTTAAATTTTGGAAGTAAGGCTTGATGATTGTGCTGTCGAGCGCTTGAGTCATCTCATACGTTACTGACTTACTGACTTGTGCATTTTTAATATTAGTTTGTTTCCTGCATCTGGTCATTTTCCCAAAGCCGGGTTCACGGCAGTGAACTTCTGAACTGAATACAAGCGAACAAATAATTCAGTGCGCTCAGAGGCAAAAGGAGACTCAGCATACATCAGAGCGGGAGCAGTGGAAAATAGAAGATGACGCAAACAACACAGCGCGCATCTATAGCTCAGTGTGTGTGTGTCCTGAGATCTGCAAGGATAAAGAAGGAACACTCGATGCTCGCACAGATTGACTCACAACATCTCTCTCCAGTGTGATGTGTGTGTGTTTGTGTGAGGGAGGAAAAGCTGCCGCCACTTATCCTGACTCACTCAGCCCTGAAGTGAGGAAAAAAGTGCTAAAATTAGAGTGAGAGAGGAAAAAAGAAATTAAGAAAAAAAAAAACAAAGGCTTGATTACAAAAATAGCTTATTCTTTTCCTTTTGAGGAAGATGATTCAACTTTGGTGTGAAAATATGAAAGGATGCGGAAGAAGCTGGTAATGAGGGGGTTGATTTTCACAGGGGTGTCCTGTGGATTTTGAATCCCAGGACGGGAGGTGTGAGACCGAAATAGCAGCTTTTGCTAATTGCTGGTTAGCAGTGTTTGTGTTGGTTTAGTTTGTAAGTTGTCTGCTGCTGTTGTGGTTTGACAGCGTCTGTGGGACCATTTCACCAGGTTAATATTACACTACACTGCTACGAGTTCACATTGTATTTTCATGTTTATGTCATATGATGGCTTTAAAGTCTATGATGTACCTTTATTTTTTTTTATATTACGCAGTAGTTTCTTATTATAATGAGGAAATGTAAGTTTAAATAAATACTTTGACATATATGTAAATGTATTTATTATCATTAAAACGATGAAATCTAATAAAAATAGAAATAAAGGGTATATAACACCCCTTCCATTCCATTATCTGTCTGCATTTTCCATATTAGTGTACTGTGATGTCGTGTGTGTGTGAGAGAGTGATGAGCATCCTCAGCGCTGGCACGAGCTTCAGTGCCAGGAAACTTCACACATTGACGTCTTTGCTTAACAGATTGAGGCTGCTACGCTGAGGAGAGCTCACAGTATGATGCTGGCAGACGATGCCAAGTTGTCACTCACAAATGCACGTGTATTTGTGTGTGTGTGTATGAGCGTCTCATCGGAGCCATTATGTTAATCCTTACATAGCCATCCTAGGTGCTTTGTTGTTTTTAGATACAGACTGACGCTGTGTGTCGTCATCAGGCTGTGGGGAATGGGTGAAGCCACAACAAAAGTGTGTGGATGAATTACATACATACCAGAAAGGCAGCCTTTACTTACTAACTAGCTGGCATTAGTTTTATAAAGACATTTGTAGCATTTGTTGATGTGCCGGAGTTAATTTCAAGCATAAACTAACAGACATTTGAAAAGCACATATCTGACTTGACTTCACTACATTCACAATTTCTCTGGAGACTCCGCACTGACCTTTCTGTCTGCTGGACATGGCCTTGTCTCTCTTGAGGTTTAAATGTTGCCTGAAAATATCTTTAAGTATCGTTTTTCAACATTTCCAGTTATTTATCAGCTTTGTACTGATTGGCATGGAAAGAAATTATCTGTTTTCTTCATCTTATCCAAATCAGGGTTTGGGGAGGGCTGGAGCCCATCCCAGCTCCCGTAGGGTGAGAGGGTACACCCTGCACAGGTCACCAGCTAGGCTGACACAGAGAAGCAGAGAGCCATTCACATCTGTGGACAATTTAGAATCGCCAACTAACCGAAGTCCACTAACTGCATGTCTTTGATCTGTGAGAGCAAGCTGGAGTACCATGGAGGACATGCAGACTCCACACAGAAAGGCCCCAGCCAGATGGTGGATTCAAACCCCAGGACCTTCTGGCTGTGAGGCAGCAGTGCTTCCCACTGTTCCACCATGCGGTCCAAGAAACAAACAAACAGAAACGAATCCATTGTGTTTTATTGTGTTTGTCTTAAAGTTGCAGGAAAAAGTTTGACAGATTTTCTAGTATATTTTTTTAAAGCTTTCTAAATTGTTTTCCAGCTTTTGAGGCAGTTTTTCAATATTTTTCATTGGCTGATTTTTCACTCATTTTCAGTCCATTCCTGGTCCCTGACAATTTTCAGTTTGTTTGTTAAGCCACATAATTCACTGATCTATGAATCAGTGATTTATAATCAATCATAGGCACCTAACTCAAAGGATGAACCACTGTCCACATAATGGACAGCGTGGCGAGGACATGCTGGAGAGAGTATATTTTTTGGGCAGAACTGGGGACACCATTGGTGTCCTCCTGGATAAGCTGGTGGAAGTGGATATCAGGTCTATGTTTTATTTATTATCAAAATAAGAACGGACATAATTCACTGCACAAACACAGGTAAGGTTCAACGTGGACTTTGCAAACTAGGACAAATTGGGTTTCTGGTATGGATCAGGCAGTGACCGAACTGGTAGCATGACTGTAGATGCTTAGTGCAGCTATTACATGCACTACTTTGAAAGTTACTTTAATCAGCTTTCTGATTTTAGCATTTGTCTTGTAAGCTTTAAACATTTGTGTTTAATAGTTTTTCTTTCTCCTACAATCCCTTGTCTATGTGTCCCTTGACCTGGATTGGTAGCTGGATAAAAAGGCCTTTAAAGCTGTATTGAATTAAATTACCATTTAGATGAACACTTGGGACATCAAATTCATGTTAGCACTGCCAAGCCTCCCACCCAACTGCTGTCTTTAGATAAGAAACACAACATGCAGAGGAAATAGCAGTAATACATGGAAATCATACTGTTAGTCATCAGGGCTTCATCATATTATTCCTTTATGTTATTTCTTGGGTTAAATGTTTGTGGAGAATTTATACCAAACCCTTCTTTGCAAGATTTCTTCCATTTATTAAGGTTTACAGGAATTTGTTTATGCATAGCTCTCTTATTACCTCATTGCAGCATTTCAGTCAGGTTGAGATCAGGACTTTAAATGAGCCAGTGCACCATCTATAAGGGAATCAGAGAATTGTCTTATAGTGATCATTTTCCTCTTGCATGATTCAATATAGGTCAGGCTTAAGAGTTTGGACAGATATATGCTCAAACTTAACTGTAGCGCACTTCTATTGATGACTCAGTGATTGCAAGGTGCCCAGGTTCTGTGGCTGAAGCAGTGCATCAACTGAGAATATCAGTGAACTTGACCTCAAGACCTCAAGTTTTCTGAAGTTTAAAGCAATAATCTAAGGAGCACGCCTTGGATTTTCAGATTTAGTCTGCTCTGATTAAATATGTTTCTTGCACCCGTGTCTCTAAGAAATAAACTACATCCTACCTAGCTCTTACACGTTCTTGCAAATCCTCCCAAGTAGCCCCCCCCAAAATATAATAAATAATTCCAAGTAACTGTAACTCCATTAAATTGGCTCCATTTACAAGACAGAGGACACAACAAAGAGTTAAGAGACACAGGAAATGCGTAATGAATATCTGTTTAGTTTTTTGCTTGGTTATAATGTTGCGTAGGCCGTTGTGAATGTTGTGAAGACACAGTTATCTTACCTCATCTTATCTGTCTGCTGGGTGGACCTTAGGACAGCGTAAAAAGACACGAATTTAGGATCTAGGAAAGCAAGAGCAAACAACAATTACATACTTTGATTTATGAGAATTGCGTTAGCCTTTGACAAACTAAAGCCAAACATCTTGTGAAAGATCTTTATCCAACCAGTAACATCAAATCAAATGTTCTTTGACTGAAATTTAATTAAGTTCAAAGAGCAATAATCAGATGCATGAGGTTTCCATTTCATTGACTTTATGTTTAAACAACATTTGGATGACATTCAAAAGCAAGCCTCACAAACAAGGCCTTTATTGTTTGGTGCTTAATCTCCAGACGCATTATAAAACCAGTGTTTGTTTCCTTTTGAGTAAGGTATGAAAACCGCCTTGATGTCAGTGTGATGTGTGTGTGACTGCATTGCTTTGTACTGTGCTGATGTAAGGCCTGTCTTCTCAAACAACGCAGTGGCAGTAGGTGCTCTAGTCAAATGGATGGCTGAATCTAGGTTACCACTGCGTCTGGCATCTCAATCACTCGCCTCCGTGCTCGACTAACAAGGGAAATTTCCTCAAGTGTTAATGCTACTTCAAACACTAGCCTGATTTTTCATCTCTTGTAAACAATGTGTTTGGCTTACTCTGTGGCAGATGTATGACTAGTTTCATACTTTTATTCTTTTTAACTCCTAAACACACAAACAGAAAAAATAACTACTGTTAGTCATCTAGGAATGAACACTAATAGCTGAAAGTCAGTTAACAGCTGTTATATAAAATCATGCATGAACTGCAGGACCACTGCTAAATAAATTCAGCACTGTTAAAGGAAGCACTAGGCATCTTTAAGTCCATGTTGGATATCTATATTAACCAAGTTACCCAAGCTCCAATCAAACAAAATCACCAATAAACAACGACTCATGTTTAGATTCTGTTTAAGACATTTGCACTGAAAGTCTGGATCTAAGTTCGATACCTGTTTGACAACTAATATAAATGGACTTTTCTAGTTTGACCATCCACACACACACACACACTCATGCAGCCCATATTTTATGCATAGAGCACCTCTATCTATCACACATCGATGGATGCATCAGTGAAAATTTGGGTTTCAGTGTTTTGTCCAACAACACTTTGACGTGTGAACTTCGAGGGCTCGAGATCGAATCATCATCTTTCTGAATAGTGGAATCCCTGAACCACAGCTGTACAGGAGAATCCGATGAATGTTGGAGTAAATATTGATTATGTCTTACAGTATCAGTGCAAAGTCCTGTTGAGAATCCCTGAGTCAAGGATGCTACCTTGAAATATAACACTGACCTTTTGCATATCAATGACATTTCCATAGCAATGGCATCCTCCAATGGAAATAGCCTGGATGTGTTATTTGAAATAGGCAGATTTCCTAAAATCACCTACAGATTTTTTTTCTCCCTATAGTCTCAGTTTCAGTGCTGTACCCACCTAAGAGATTCAGCACTGACTGAAAATAGCAAAATCCTTATAACACTTCCTGCTACCTGATCATTAAAATATGCAACTGCCACTGAAGCGTTTTGTTTTTATATAGTTTAAACACCTAACAATAGTGTATGTACAGTTAACCTTTTCCCTGCTTTATGCTAAGCTAACTGCAGACATGACACATGAAAATCTATTCTTATGTAATGCTATGGAAATAAACAAACAAATTAAATCTAGAACTACCTTAAAGATATCAACCTGAATATTTTATACCCATTCTGAGGCTTTTGGTGCAAAATCACATCGGCAATCACAAAAAATAACTCATAATGCTACACAGTCACTGTCCATGTTTACTTCCTGCCACTTGCCTCTGTTGTGAACTAACACTTGGTTTTACAAGAAAAGGGAAATGCATAGACATTATTTCTTACTGCATATTGACTGCTACAACTAACTGATTCTGTGAGAAATCATGAGGATTTCTCCTACACTATAGTAAGCTGTCTAAATCCCAATTCCCTGAGCTACATTCCATTGCTCTGACCGGTTTAATGTCACATTTATGGCTGTAACCAGCTTAGTAATTTTATATATACAAGCTGCTTCTGCAAAATAAAGTCTTTTACAGTTTTCAAAATTTCTGTTTTTGATTGTATTCCAACTCTCGTGGTTTTTTAAAGGTCACTGGAGCACAAGCACATCTTTATTATCAAACATTAAGAGGAACAAATTCTGGACCTCACTGATTTCTAAACCCCAGTCATGTCCCTGGCCAGCCTACTTTATAATCAAAGACAGGACAAATACATGCTGGTGAAAGGACATTGAGATTAATAATAACAAATAACTAAATGCAAAGAGGTGTATACGCACTTAGTGAGTGAAAAGGGTGACTGAAGAAGCACTCAGTGCATCATGGGAATCCGCCAGCAGTCTAAACCTTTTGCTGCATGACTAAGGGAAGAAAAGGAAAGTTTTCAGCCTAATCTTAAAATTAGAGATAGTGTCTGTCTCCTGAATCCAAACTGGAAACTGGTTCCATAGAAGAGGGGCCTGAAAACTGAAGGCCCCTCTTCACTGCAAGTAAGCCTGCAGTGCAAGAGCGAAGTGCTCTAATGACGTGATATGGTACTATAATGGTCATTAAGATAAGATGGAGTCTGATTATTCAAGACCTTGTATGTGAGGAGCAGGATTTTGAATTTAATTCTGGATTTAACAGGGAGCCAATGAAGAGAAGCCAATATAGGAGAGATATGCTCTCTCTTTCTAGTCCCTGTCAGGACTCTTGCTGCAGAAATTTGGATTAACTGAAGGCTTTTCAGGGAGGACAGCCTCATAATAACAAACTATAGTAGTCCAGCCTAGAAGTAATAAATGCATTAACTAGTTTTTCAGCGTCATTCTCAGACAGGGTGTTAATAATTTTGGACATATTTGTTTAATATGTGTATTGAAGAACAAATTCTAGTGAAAAACAACTCCAAGTTTCCCCACAGTGTTACTGGAGGCCAAGATAATGCCATCCAGAGTAAGCATCTAGAATATTTCTAAGATTTTCAGGGCTGAGTACAACAACCACAGTTTCGTCAGAATTTAGTAGCATAAAATTAGAGGTCATTCAGGTCTTTATGTCTTTAAGACATTCCTGCAGTTAAGCCAATTGGTGTGTGTTATCTGACTTGATGGATAGATAAAGTTGGGTGTCATCTGCATAGCAGTAAAATGTATGCAAGGCCTTCTAATGATAGGGAAGCATGTATAATGTAAACAGAATTGGTCCCAGCACGGAACCCTGTGGAACTCCATAACTAACCTTAGTGTGTAAATTTACATGAACAAATTGGAGTCTTTAAGATAGATATGATTCAAACTACTGCAGCGTAGGACCTGTAATACATTTATTACAGCAATGTTCTAATTGCTGTAATAAAATGTTATGGTCAACAGAATTGAAGACTGCACTGAGGCAGGAAGACAAACACAGAAATGAGTCCACTGTCAGAGGCCATAAGAAGATCCTTTGTAACCTTACCTAAAGCTGTTTCTGTACCATGATAAGCTCTGAAACCTACTGAAACAAATAAGCCATTTGTCTGCGGCTGATCATTTAACTAGTTTACAACTACTCTTTCAAGAATTTTTGAGATAAGGAATCAAAAAGGATCATATTTAATTTTGACATACAGTATTAATTAAAGGTAGGACTTATTTGAGCAGTCTTGTAGGAATGGGGTCTAAAAGACAAACTGGTGATTTGGAGGAGGTAGCTGAAGCTAACCGAGAAGGTGCAACTGGAGAAAAAAGGAGTCTAAATAAATATCAATAATACTGAAAGTAGCTGTACATAATAATTTTAAAGTAAACTTCTGTGGCTCCATTTTAGGTCATGGAGTGAGCAGGCGACCACATGCCGCATGTCTAGAAAGCTGTGGACTGGGTTCAAGTCTGACCCGTGGCCCTTCTCCCCTCTCTTGCCACTTTGGCAAAATGCCCCAAAAAATAATGTTAAAAAAACAAAAGAAATACTGAACCGATCAGTTAACTGGCACCAAACCAGTCTTTGCTATATCATCCTTGCAGTGTTAAAATTCTCCTTCTGATATCTGTTGTTTTCAGATGAAATGCCAGCTATTTACAATTCCAGTTGTTATTGCACTTGCATCATTGGTTTGTGCATTGAGATTGCCCTTTTCAATGAAAGTAGGAATAAATGACGACACAAAACCCAGTGTCTATGTCCCTACCCATGAAAAGGGTCATAAGCTAGGCGTGTAAAAGGACAATCATTACCTCTTGTCTCTGTTCATGAGTTTACACAGTGGCTGTGAATACAAATACTGTGTGTTTAGGATGTTGTGAGCGGTAATATAATTGATCTTGCCATATGGGATGCAGCAAAAAAACAAAACAAAACAAAGATTTGTCATGTTAGAATTAGGTTATAGTAAAGATTGAGGTGCAGATAGGAAATCCATTTTGCCCATTACTGTCCTCACAAGCATACAATTGCAAATGTGTGTGAGAAGCACAGCTGTGAGAAGCTGAGACGCTGAACACTGTGGGAAGGTCACAGTGATGAGAGAGAATGCTGGGAGGGATCATCCTGTGCTTGGATGAGCAAGGTTACACAGATAAAGACTGTGACCTTTAATCACTAATGTACCGTCATTCACATGCACGCACTCATGAGCGTGCATGCACATGCATAAACGATTAATTACTTAAGCACACACACAGCTCTAAGTTACTTCAGCACAATGATAATTCTTCTGTGTTGCTTAGCAAAGATTGTTTATTTCGCTGAACGCAATGACCTGCAAATCTCATAGACCCACATTTTATACACAATAGAGCATAGAAAACATATCAAATGTTTAAACTCAGGCATGTTAATATCACATGAAAAATATTAGTTAATGTTGAATTTGATGGCAGCACATCCCAAAAATAAGTTGGAAAATTAACTGGTACTAAAAAGAAACAGCTGGAGGAACGTTGTGCAACTAATAAAGTTGACTGACAATAGGTCAGTAATATGATTGGGTATAAAAAAACTTCTCAGAAGATGAGCAGAGGTACGCC